CGTCAAAAATCTTTAAAGGTGATATTCTTGATCAGCTCGACGTGCTCTATCCAACCATGTATAATTCGACCAGATTCATTTTATCACTAACCTTTTGAATTTCCGGCACCTTACCTAATTCAGTACACATAATTGTTTTTCCAGCAGTGCTTTTTCTCAAATTGTAAGACTAAACAACAGTTTGTTTATTCTAAAGTTCTTTTATAATAATAATATTCTAGTATAATGGTCTCACCTGATTCATTAAGCCGAAATGTGGCAATAATTGCAACCATATTTGGAGCTATTGCTTTAGTATTAGCCTGTGTCGGTGTTGGTACACCCAACTGGCAAGTGACTTACACAGATCCTCCCAACAACACAAATGTAGGAAGTACAACTAACTTTTTCTATACATGTATAATTAACATAAATTGTTTAAATAATAATCAATTGAATACAACCAGTGATTATTACAATCGTTTGAGAAATTCTGCCGGTCTATCAATTGTTGGTATTTTATTTTTGGCATTTGGTACTATAATGACACTCGTCATGGCACTTACGAATTTTTATTATAGTCATCTTTCTGGACCGATACTCTTATTCTTAGCAGCATTATTCATGATGGCAGCACTAGCTGAAGGCGCGCGAGTCTTATTTTACAATGGATATGCAGCTAATTTATATGAAACCGGACATTTACTAACAATATTTACATTAGGATTCTCAGCATTTGCCTCTGGTAGAATTCAATATTCAAAAGCAGCACTAACAACACCACGCGTCAGATAATTATATGATTTCTTTTGTCAAAGTTACCAGACATCTACTTTTTATAATAAAACATTATGGAATCAGTTTTGTATTACAAACACAATAGATTTTGTCTTTATAAATGTTTATTACATTTCAGCATTTCAGTCTCATTGACGATCGTTTTATTTTGTGTACAAAAAAAACTCAAGAGATAGTCCGTATAGACATTGGAAAATCTGATTATCCGATGAAAAACTAGTTTATCTTTAATCGTGTTTATTCGATACTCCATCAAAAATAACCTAAAAACCGAATTCGGAAACGT